TAAAATGCATAAAAATCAAAATAAATGAGTGAATAATGCATGGGGGGTTCCATAGGTCGTGGACCATGCTAGGATTGAGATTCAATCTTGAAAAGATGGGCCCATGTGGAAAAAAATGCAATTTTGAGCATTGTTGATTTTGGGCAAATTTCCAAAAATTACCAACTTTGACAATGCATATCTCTCTCAATTTTGATCCTAACGGGGTGTTCTTTGACTTTTTAGAAATATTAGGATGTACCCTAAGCAACCTCTTTGGTTTCATATCAAGTGGATCTTCCATGATCATGTAAGGAGCTTTGACCGAAAAGGTGTTTTTGTTGACTTTTTGGAATGACCTATAATGTCTGCATTCATATCTTTCCATGGGTGCATTTCTTGAACTTGAGGGATGAAGATTAGTTGTAGGTAATTTTATTATCTTCAAAATGAGCCTTGGATTAGAAATTTATGATAAATTATGAGAGAGTTATGCCTGGTCAAAGTTTGGTTGACTTTTCCTGGAAAAACCCTAATTTAGCAACTTTTGAGTTTTGATGAATTAAGAGCCTTCCTTGGGGAATCATGATCAAACCTTGATCAAATGATGGATATCACCTTAAAATGTTGATTTTGACCAAAAATATTGGGGTTTGACTGTATGTGGGCCACAATTGACTTTTGACCTAGTATAGTTGATTTTCAAGCATTTGAGCAGTTGACTGAGCAAACTTCTTGTGCAAGGCATGAAATTTGACATGGATGATCTTGAGAACATATTAAGACTATGTAAAAGATTTGAGACCTTTGGAGTTCACCCATATTGATGCAAATGGAAACCCTAGTTTGAGGTTCATTGTCTTAGGAGAGCATTTGTCTGATCAATCCTTGGGCATCTTTGGGCAAGTTGAAGAATTCAATGAGTATGTTTTGAGTAAAATGGGAGGGAAAATTTTGGGGAACAACACACAGTATATCAAGCCACGCAGAAAATTCATCTGAATCGTTCACCCTGAAACAAATGGAAAATCATAATATTCATACATTTGTCCATCATATAATACATTTCAACAATAACATGCATTAAGCACAAATAGCATCCATGAACATTTTTATAGAGCATACATAGAAATACATTTGCCTTATACATACATACAACATCATTAGATAACTACTTAGACAATCCATTCTCGGTTCCGGAACAATTCTACACTTGGGGGAGAAATACAACATCATGTTATTCTGCCAGAACAGGTTCACTGAGAGAGCGCTCATCGAATGCCCGATTTCTATGCAAAGTCCCAGCGAACGAAGTCATTAGCCTTACCAAGTTCTAAAAGTCACAGTTCTCTAACCGAACTCCCAGTGAATGCCTGATTCGCTAAGAAAACTAGCAGCAAATAATTATTTACTTATTTTCTTCAATCCAGACTGTCGCTATGAGAACTTTGTAGTGAAGGCTACTTCGCTAAGCGAACCATAGTTTGCTAAGAGAACTTCACAACATAGAATTCCTTTCTAACTTCATACATTCTCTAGGCGAGCTATAGTTCTCTAAGCAAACTACACTACATAGAGAAAAAACCAGAAAACCCAGAACTCAGACTTGGGTCCTCAAAACCCCAAATTCCCACATGCAATTTGAAATAGGAATCATACTAGTTAAATTAATGATGCATGTACATACTATTACAGGAATGAAGTCATAATCATGCATTATCATTGGGGATTGAAGCATATATCTCTCAAAACCCTTGTTCCCAACATAACTCCAAAACTCCAAGTCTCTACATCTAATGAGACTCACTTGAACTTGATGATGAAGAAGCTGTAAAATCACAACAAGAATGATGATGAACTAAGAGATGGGGATTGATCTTTGTACATGCAAGGTTCAAGAAGGCTTGAGCAACTTTCTCCTTTTCCTCTTTTTCTGACCTTTCTCTTTCTCTCTATTATATTCCACAAAAATATATTTTGTGTTCCAAAATGAATAATGAGACAATGCCAAACATGACCCTAATTCTAACTTAATGGGCCAATGTACTATAATACCCTTAAGTCATTTAATTTCTCTTTTATTTTACTTCACATACCAAAATATGACTAGTATAATTTATCTGTTTAATATGCATTACTAATTAAATTAGTAGCCAGCATTAGGGAATAAGTATACCGAGTATTACAATTTGACCAAACTCTTATCAGATTCATCACCATGTTCTAATAGCAAGCCAGAATCTGAGATGAATATTTCTGCATCGCTAGTTAGACTCTTGATGTTAATTCAATCAGGGAAGTATTACTTCATGCTGATTGATATGTACTATTTCTCAAAACTTCTTTAAGTCTTCAACTCAGGGGGAGACTCTGAACAAGATTAAATAAGTCATGAGAGTATAAACTCAGAGGGAGGTGTTTATCTAAATTTGAATTGTTTTTTGTGATAAAACCTAGTATAAATTGTTTATCAAAATACATGGGGTTGTCATCATCAAAAAGGGGGAGATCGTAAGAACAAGATTTGGTTCTACATTTGGCCTTTAGTTTTGGTGATAACAATACATGGGTGATTAGATAACAATTGAGTAACCAAACAGTTTTACCAAGTATGTAGCTTTTGCTAATAGGTTCTAACTTTGAAGATATGGTGTATGACATCATTAGACTCTGTACTCAACATACTAAGTGATATAAGTGTATGTTACAAGGATCAGAATGCTTCTAAAGTAACGGTTTGTGGGAACGTTAACTTCTAAAGCTTCTGTTTGTAACTTTGATGGTAAAGCTTCTGAAAGATTCTTAAGCTCTGGAGATTCTAGTCTCTCTTGCTCCAAGATTCTGAATATTCTGAATACAAGGTTCTGATGAACATGTTCTGAAGACTCTGAAGACCAATGATTCTAAAGACCAACATGCTGAAGACTCTAAAGACAAGGTTTTGTTGAAAAAGTTTTGAAGACTCTGAAGAAAAAGATTCTGGAGACTAGTTTTGGTCCTTATAAATATACTTCAACTTATACATACTCTGAAGTCTCAAAATACTAGAAGATAAGATCAAAATTCTTTGCGTGAGAAATAGTACAAGATCACCTTTTTCCACTACTCTGATTTTGTGTCGAAATGACAGTACTATTGGTCTGATGTTGTCTATCACTCACACTAAACGTTATGCAAGAATACAATTGGAAATATAATATTCCTATTCTACCCTCCAACGGATTTATTTTTGGCTATAAAAGGAAGACTTGGAAGAATTGAAAAAAATTGAATTTTTAGTGAATCATTCTACTAAAATGCTGCTGAAATTCCTTGTAAATCTTTTGTAAAGTTTTTCAAAGCAAGGAATTTTTGTTCATTAACTTGCTAACAAGGAACTATTATTTTCTAACTTGCTCTTAACACTGTTGTTTTATTTCTGTGTATTTCAACTTGTGTAATCTGCTTTCTTAGAAGCATCTTATAAACACACAATCTTGTATTTCAACCTTAGGTTGATTATTCCTTGAGAGACTATGGCTTTATTCACAATTCTCAAGAAGACACTGACGGGTAGTCTTTGTTCTTTTAAACATTGACGGTTAGTCTTTGTTTGTGTCTATAATCAGTTTGATTATAGTTGATTAAGTCCTTGTTGAGAAAGAAAAATCACATTGGTGGGTGGAATGAATTAACTTAGTTAATAGTGAATCATGATAAAAATAATTGTGTTTATTTATTTTTGTCCTTGTGTTAACTTCAAGTGTTTGGTTTTGAAAAGATTTTATTTCTAGAAATCCAATTAAAATCCTCCTTTCTTGTGTTTCTCGCACCTTCAATTTCCTTTTATTTCTATATTGTAGTAAAAAGCTTTCACTGTGTCAAGATAAATATCTCAAAAAAACCCACAAACTCTTTTAACCCAAGTGACCTAAGCAAACCAGAAAAGGGAAATTGGAGAAATAAAAAAGTTTACCATATTTTAGGATAATCAATGGTCTGCCATTGAATTTTACTCATAATCTATTCATTTGCTATTGAGTATGCAATATTTTTGACAAATCCAAAGTGTTGGTGACTACCCATTGCTTTTGAACTCTTTCGAAAGTGAGAACTCGTGATGATTTTTTTGGGAAGAGTGGGGTTTTAGGATTTTTTTTTGTGGGGAAATTGAGGTTTTTGGAGATAAAACAAAGGTATGAGAGATATGTGAGTGGTGGTAGATTAAAAAATGATGTTGGTGTTAATGTTATTTCCTTAAGATATGAAGATTTTTGAAATTAAGTTGAACGGTGTTGAAGAGCGGGGGGAGGGGAGAACACAATATTTATGAGAAATGAGAGGATGAAATGGCAAAATAGAGTTGAAAATATTGACATAAATACATGGGTGTAATCAATTACTAGTCGAGATTGTGGCTTTTGACCCGCAAATATGGTGCAATTTTTACACTGGTAATCAATTACCAACACAATGTAATCGATTACAACATTTAATTTTTTTCTTTTCATTTTGGTGACATTTTTACCCTATATACATATTACTAAATCATACTTAAGCATGTTTTAAGATCACAAACACATAGTATTTCACATTTTAATCAAGTCCATATGCAAAAATATTTTTAACATATGCAATGGTTAAAAAAATGTCATGAAAAGGTATTATGAGAAAACATAAGTCACGTAGTAATTGCACTAAATACAAGTCATATTTCATTCTCATTCAAGATTTTGAATTTTCTTCTACTTTAATAAAATTATTTTTTGGTCAGAGGTTTTGCAAAAATGCCAGTCATTTGGTCATGAGTTTCAACAAAAGTAATTTCAACATCTCCTTTTAGTATGTAGTCCCCTTAAGAAGTGGTGTCAAATGTCTATGTGTTTTGTCCTACAATAGATGAATAGATTTTAAGTTAAATAGATGGCACTAGTTTTATCTAACTTAGAGAAATGCATTCCAAATTTAAAAAACAATAACATAGTTGTTTCTTTCATCAAAGTACGTGTGCACAACAACATCATACATCTATGTAATCTACATCAATTTTCTTGAAATAAGGATGAACACTTTAAAAAGAATGTTTGAATAGTGTAAAAATAATTTGAAACATGTGAATTTTGTTTTCTGGTGTGTAATACTTTGTATACACCCTTAGAAACCTCTATGAATAGGTGCACAACCCGACACCAACCCCTTTCATTTCCGCGCCGCTGCTTCAGGTATTTTCCTTTGAATCTGATTTTGTTAGCATGTTGGTTTAAGACCTTGGGATCTAATATAGACTGAGATTGAGATAGAGGAAGATAAGGATTTTTGTTGTTATGTTTGATTGTGGAGTTAAAATTTGAGAAGAAAAGAAGAGGGTGGATGAGAAAAATGCAGATCCATTCCTTTCTCATATTCATCGTTTTGTTATATATGTTTGTTATTACTCTTTTGTTTATCTTGTAAATTAAAAAAACTGACATGTGTCTCATTTTCGTTGGTTGTTAGCATTTTGCAAAGTCCAATTGATTTTGTTCTATTATTGTTTATTTTAAAGAGAAAAATTGGAATCAGGTGAGTAAAAGTGGGGTGGCCGTAAGCTCCATTTACCTTCATTTATTCATTTTTTTTATTTTAAAAATTAATATTTTAATTAGTATAATTTATAATGAGTTTTATGTGTGGTATGGGCCTTGGGCCCTTATTCTCTCTCTGTTTACTAATTTACATCCTTATTCACTTCTATGCACACCTTTGGTTATGTTTAATTTTATTTAATTAGTTTATTTATTTTTTAATTAGTTATTAATCAAGTTAATTTTATTAATTAAGTTTAATTAGGGTAGTTTTATTAGGTTTTTTCTTCAATTAGTCTCATTCAGGTTATCTAATGTTGGTTATTAATAAAAATACCAAAAATATGTCATTAGATTATTTAGTAAAAATAAAAAATATATATTTTGTTTACTTTTAATTTAAATTATTCTAAACGTATACTAGGTTTTCTCTTTGTTAAACTAATTTTAGCCTTATAAAAATCATTAAAAAACAAAAACAAAAAAAACCTTTTTCTTTGTAAATAATTATTAATCAAAAAAAATCAAAAAAAATTATTTTCCCATCTCTCCACTCATTTTTGCAAACAATTGTTTTAGCCAAAAGTACATATATTTTCAAGAGTTTCCTGTAGAGTATCGTAGATGTTTATGGTGCTAACACATTCCCTTTGCATAATCAACCCCTATATCCTTATCTCTTTATTTTTATGGGTTTTATTCGCTCTTTTCCCATTTTCTTTGGAAATAATAAATTGCGGTGGCGACTCTTGCTTATTTTGCGAGTTAAGTTAATCTCATAGTTTAATCTCTGAATTTTCACCGTTACACGACCTAAGTCAAAAATATTGAAGGACCTAGAGAATTTAACAGCCAAAAAGGAAGGCCCAACCCACATATCATTCATAAAGGAGGTTTGAAGGCCCATAACCAATTTCTTTATTATTGTGAAAATGACAAGTTTTAATTCCAATCAACACTTTGATATCTGAGACAACGAATAGTAGTAAACGAAACAAATGGTCTATGCAATAATAATCAATATGTAAAAAAATATAATAGAATAAGGCGAGAAAAGGCGAAAAGTTTATTTACCCAATTTGATTAAAAGATATACCTACGTCTTGGGGATATAGAAACTATGCAATTCACTAAGAAAGTTGTAACAAGAGATTAGAAATGAGTTACAATAAAATAGTCTTCGCCTTCAGAGTTTCCAAGAACTACCCAATAACAAATCTTATTTTCTATCCAAGTGTTTCCTAACCTCTTTAACTCTAAATATATGAATCATTCAAACCTAGTGTTTTAGAAGTATTTCTCAATCTCCTTAGATAAATCCAAAGGTTTCCCAAAAACCCATATTTTACTAAGGTTTCTCTTAGAATACCCTACACCCTTAGTTCTCCCTTTTTCTCTAAAGCTCTAAAATTGTCACATTGTAATAACATAAGAGAAACATATTTATAATTGCCAAAACCCAACAGATCCATAACAAAGCCCAAAACAAAACCCACTAATTATTAGAATAAAATATTATAAATATCTTATAATATCTTTTATATTAATTTAGACTACTTATATATATATATATATATATATATATATATATATATATATATATATATATATATATATATATATATATATATATATATATATATATATATATATATATATATATATATATATATATATATATATATATATATATTCTAACATCATTGAATAGATCTGTAGATTGAACCGACCAAATCTGATATATGTGAACTGTCTGAATTGGACATTCATGCTGCTTTTTGGATTCTTGATTTTTGACAATCTCAAAACATGTTTCATTTCTCTTTATTACTTAAGGTTTTAAGGCATACATTAACAATCTCCATCTTGACTTGAAACCATGGTGATGCCAATTTAACCATCAACCAAATTGCTGCTCTCTACCATGTTTAAACTATAATCAATAACCTTGATCAAATTCAAGGCACCCTTGAATCTTGATCTCACCACTTGCATTCACTAGTTTCCATTTACCTTTTTCTGCTTAGATAATCTGACAAGCCCAAAAGAATGGTTATTCAACCAACGTCGACTCCACATTCCTTCATATGCATCCCTAAAGGTTTCTATTTCTGCATTTTGTAACCCTTCAGCCACATTTAAGGCATAACACCCAAGGCTAGTATAACTATCACTTTGATATGTTACCATCCCCCTCCTTACCTTATCACGAGTCATATGATAATCCGACATCTCTGTAAAAGTTTCCTCAATGCTACTAGTATTCGTAGCAGGAAACTTCACCTCAATTTGTGTTTTCTCCTATAGTTTCTAAAATGTTTATCCCTTAATTTTAATATTCTTCCTCTGAAGAAATTCTCTGCCAACCAAGTAAGTTGCTTTGATATTAGCACTACCCTAAAAACTCAATAACAACTCAGCGGTCACATGCCCTTTTATCCCTTATTTTTTGAAAAATACATTATACATTCTAAATTAGCCTTCAGGCATTCATAATACCTTGACCCCAAATCCCATAACTCTTTCTTGTCATGGAACACTCCACTAGATAATTATGAATGAACAACAACATTTGAACCTTCTAAAATATGTAGACCACATATTTTAGACCCTTTAGCAATAATTACTTCATGGTGTGGAATCTTCAATACTCCATGTACAACTCTAGTGCAATATCCTAGATCATCAAACATACTTATAGATAACAAATTTCGCTGGAGTTCTGAAACATACCTCACGTTGTGAAGAATAAACTCACAATCATCAAACATTTTAAGTCTGACCATACCAATACCATGGACTTTACAAGCCTTATTATAACTAAGGAGAACTACTCCACCTTGCACAAGCTTCAAAGTCTCAAAGTTTTATATTCTTCGACACATGTGATAAGAGCACTTGAGTCTATGACCCAACTATCTTCAATTTCCAAACTCGATATCAGTAGTGCATCAGCATTCTCATTGACCTTTTTCTCATGACAATCCTTCTTGAACTGACCAGTTTTCTAACAATTAAAACATTTTATCTTTGACTTGTCAAACTTATTTTTATTTGGACATCCTTTTATGCTTAGTTCCTCCTCTTGAGACACTCAAGCTTTCAACACTATTTTCAATCTTCAAATATTTTGTTTTTTAAAATTATTTGGATTTTATCGTCATCTGGACTTCATCCAAAGTGATAGTACCTTCCTTACCATAAAGAAGAGCATACTTAAAGTGCTCAAAGGATATTAGTAATGAACTAAACAAGAGTATAGCCTTGTCCTCGTCATCAATCTTCACTTCAATATTCTCAAGATAATCAACAATCTTGTGAAATTATGTAACTTGCTCTGTTATGGATTGGTTCTCCACCATTTGGAACGAATAAAGTTGTTGTTCCATACACAACATGTGAGCCAAAGACTTGTTCATATACAATGATTCAAAATTTTCCCACATCAAAGCAGCATTCTGCTCTTTAGAGACATTTCTTAGAACTTTATCCCTGAGACACAAGATAATGAAACTCCTGGCCTTATCCACCATGTCGGCCTTCTCTACTTAACTAAGAAGTGAATGCATCAATGCATCACCTTCAAAGCTTCAATACATTTCTTTTGAGTTAAAATTGCTTGCATCTTTACTTTCCACAATCCAAAATCATTGTCTTTGGAAAACTTTGCAATCTCCCATTTAGGAACCTTGCTCACTTCTAAACAATACCCCTTTGCCCCACGATGGGCGCCACTTGTTATGAAAATGAAAAGGTTCAATCCTAATCAACACTTTGATATGTTAGGCAAAGAACAATAGCAACCAAAATAAATAGAATTCAAAATTAATAATCAAAAAGCAGAAATATAACATAATAAGGCGAGAAAAGGAGAAAGGTTTGTTTACCCTTCAGTCAAAAGATCTATGTCTTTAGGCCAGAGCAGCTCTCCAATTCACTATACTTAGAAAGTTGTTACAAGATGTCAGTTATCTAATTTTAGGATTGACATTAATTTTAGTAAAACAAATATATTATCAATATGATAAATAGGGTGTATTATCTTGCTAAGAAAAACAAGTTGAGCAAGAAGTCATATTTTATGTTGACACATGTTGAGATGATAAGTTCTCATCATCTGGAGAAACATGTCGGATCAGATGTCCTATGTAGGGTCATTTGACATCACGCATGTACTACGTTGAACAGTTGGATTAGTTCAAGATTTAACAGATGTAGAATATTTTGGGAATGTTATGCTATCCTATGTGGCGCTGTTTTATAGGTCTGAAAGATTCAAGAAGAATATTGAAGAATATTGGCTTTCTAATTATGGAGATAAATTAGGAAAAATTTGCTTGAAGACCTATTTTGTAGCAGAAAATTCTGCTGATTTGTAGCAGTTGATATGTTGTGATTTGAAGCCCAAATCCAGATGGGAAAAGGTTATAAATAAAAGTGTTTGTAACCTAGAAAAGGCACAGGTCCAAGATGTAGATCATTAGGGATTTATCTTTGTGCCACTCTCTAGGAGAGTTGGTATGTGTTCTCACTCAGAAGCCTTTAGATAATGAGTTGAGTATTGTTCTTGGAGGAAGATTTTAAGCAACTCTAAGTATTATTCTTAGTCAAGAGTCTTGGCTAGGTATTATCATGGAAGTGTGTCTTCTAGTTTATCGTCATGGAAGTGTGTCTTCCAGTGTTTGATCCAATCGCTGTCTATTATTGATGAGTGATTGAGGAGGGATTCATATCTAGGCGAGTCTTAGATAGAAAGTTAGCACGGGTAGTGATTAAGTTAGAAGTTGTAAATGGGGGAGTTTAGCTTCGAGTTGATACT